AGGGACAGCCCCTACACCCTAGCTACACTGGAATTATACAAACTAACCATCCCTAAGCTTTTCATCCCACCATCCCTGCATTTCCCTTGGAAAGTCCAATACAGGCTCCGACCTCAGGTTTCCCTGCACTTGTGCCTCCGCATGTGGCCTTGTACATGATGTGCTCCCTCCGCTCAGGAAACGTAAATAATAAAAACCTTCTTTCAGTGTCACTGGCCTCTCCGTGCTGGCAGTAACTCACTGAAGTGCATAAATGAAAACCCCATGGGTACAGTCACTCATACACTTCTCTCCAGGACCTTCAGCCCTTCCCCCATACATCCCCCCAACCCCTCACTCATCCTCCTCCCAACTTCTTGATGTGAAAGACTTACCAGGTGCTGAGGGCACCGGTGTCTCCTCTCTCAATAGCACTGACCAGTGTGTCCAGCACACAGCATGGAACAGGTGGGGTAGGGGGCAGAAACGTGCCATCCAGGCTCTGACCTGGTATGTGGGATGCCACCCCTCTCCTGCCAGCCAGTTTCCCTGGGTTTTCCCAGATCTTGCCTCCNATATATATATATATATATATATATATATATATATATATATATATATATATATATATATATATATATATATATATATATATGGTGTGTGCGTGTATACACATTTAGTGAAAACAGCCATACAAGAGAAATCGTAGGATTTCTTTTATATAAAAGTCTAGGGCTGGCCGAATGGCTCAGTTGGTTAAGAGTTAGCTTAAGAGCACGAGCTCTAAGCAACAGGGTCGCTAGTTTGACGCCCACATGGGCCAGTGAGCTTTGCCCAAGCTGCCGCTGAGCTGCCAACAGGTGGCAGGATGGCTCAGCTGGTGAGATGGTGAGAGCACGAGCTTTTAATGACAAGATTGTCTGGGACTGAACTCAGCACCTTGAGCTGAGCTGCCGCCCAGATGGCTCAGTGGATAGAGCGTGCGCTCCTAACAGCAAGGTTGCCAGTTCGACTCCTGCATGGAAAAAAAAAAGTCTAGAAATGCAAACTATAGTGTCTACTTGGTTAAGGCTGGGAGAAAGAGAATACAAAGGGTCCAATGAAAACTATAGGGGCAATGATGTGTTCATTATCATAACTTTGGTGATGGTCCCATTATACACACATATGAAAATATACTTTACAGTTTTAATAAATGCAACTTAATGTATGTCACTACCTCAATAAAGCTGTTAAATAAAGGTTCCATATAAAATCTAGGTCTTCTCTTCCTCTAGAAATATCATAACATCTGGCAAAAATGTACTGATTCCATCGGCACCATTTCCCATGTCTTTGGTGGGACAACTCTGATTCCTTCTCAAAACTGCAGGAAATGCTGACAAATGCTTCAACGTGGGGGAAATTATGCTAAGCAAAATAAGCCATTTACAAAAAGACAAACACTGTGATTCCACTTATATGAAGTATCCAGAGTAGTCAAACTCAAAGAAACAGAAAGTAGAATGTGGTTGCTAGGTGCAATAGGGTGGGGGATAGGAGGAGTTATTTAATGAATATAGTTTCAATTTTGCAGGATAAAAAGAATACTGGAGATTAGTTACACAGATACATGAATTTTTTAACATTACTAAACTGTACAAATAAAATGGTAGAGGGTTAACTTTGTTACATGTATTTTACAATTACAAATGTAAAATAAACAACTACATTATAGTAGCTCCCAGGGATAAATTACAGCAGACATTTGGCTGAAGTCTCTCCCCCATTTGCAGTACTCTTTCTGGTGTGAACTTTTTGGTGCCAGAATGTGGTGGGAGTTTTGGCTGAATATATGCCCATGTCTGCTGCCCTCATAAGGTCTTTCTCCATTGTGAAATCTCTGATGTGTGATGGGGCTGCAGTTGCACCTAAACTTTCCCACATTCACTGTACTCAGAAGGCGATTCGCCAGTGTAATGAGTTTAGAGTGGTACCTAAAGGATCTACCGTATTCTCTGCACTCATGAAGTCTTTGCCAGTGTGAATTCTGTTTAACGAGGTTGGCGTTGCATCTAAAGAATTCCCCACATTCATGGTGTTCATAGACCTGTCCTGATTGTGGATTTTCTGGTGATGAACAAGGTGGGACTTTCTAATGAAGGCCTTCTGACATTTGCTGCACTCAAAAGGCCTTTCTCCACTGTGAATTTTCTGGTGCTCGATAAGTATATGTTTATGGCTAAAGGCTTTCCCACATTCACTGCACTCGTAAGGCCTCTCGCCAGTATGATTTCTCCAATGTTTAATGAGGTTGGAGTTGTACCGGAAAAATTTCCCACACTCACTACACTCATAAGGCCTTTCTCCAGTGTGAACTCTCTTGTGTCTAATGAGTCTGCAGTGATACCGAAAAGCTTTCCCGCATTCACTGCACTCATAAGGTCTTTCTCCGGTGTGATTTTGCCAATGTTTAATGAGCTTGGACTTGTACCTAAAAAATTCCCCACATAAGCTGCACTCATAAGGCCTTTCTACAGAGTGAACTCTTTGATGTCTAATGAGTGTGGAGGTGTACCTAAAGAACTTCCCACACTCACTGCACTCATAAGGCCTTTCTCCAGTGTGGACTCTCTGATGTTTAACAAGTGTGGAGTTGTACCTGAAGAACTTGCCACATTCATTGCAACCATAAGGCCTTTCTGCAGTGTGAACTCTCTGGTGTCTCATGAATGTAGAACTATACCTGAAAAATTTCCCACATTCACTGCACTCATAAGGCCTTTCTCCAGTGTGAACTCTCTCATGTCTTATCAGTCTGTAGTTGTACCTAAAGAATTTTCCACATTCTCTGCACTCATAAGGCCATTCACTATTGTGAATTCTCTGATGTTTCATGAAGTTGGCTTTATACTTAAAGAATCCCCCACATTTGCTGCACTCATAAGGGCTTAAAGCAGTGTGAACTCTCTGGTGACTAATGAGTGTGGACTTGGACCTAAAGGCTTTCCCACACTCACTGCATTTAAAAGGCCTTTCTCCAGTGTGGATTTTCTGGTGTTGAACAAGGTGGAACTTTCTAATGAAGGCCATTCCACATTTGCTGCATTCATGAGGCCTGACTCCAGTGTGAATTTTCTGGTGCTGAACAAGTATCTGTTTTCGGCTGAAGCCTTTCCCACACTGAGCGCACTTGTAGTCATTTTGTCCACTTTCAAAGGCTTCTGTGCAGTTGGAGTTCCTGTGTGGCTTCCCTCCACTGTGAGGGGCCTGGTGTTGGGGAAGGCCTGTGCTAGATGGGTAGTCCTTCCCACCCTCCATGCACGTGAGGGTCCCCTCTGTCATGTGACTACTGCCATTCATCACAAATGAAGGCTTCCCCTCATCCCTTTTGGAAAGTCTGTCTCCAATCTGCTCCATTTGGTGCTGGTAAAGCTCTGTCCCACAAATGTATAGTCTTCGATCAGGGTACATTCCATTGCGCTCAGCCAGGCACAAAACATCTTTCAAGAGTGGGCCACACATCTCACAGGCCTGGGCCTTGTGGGTGGATGGATCTGGCTTTGGAGTCCTAACCTGTGACTCTCCCACAGAAACACTTTCCTCAGAAGGGGACTCCTCGTCCTGGGCTCCATGCCAACAGCCTGTAAGCAGAGAAATGCCGGTGAAGTGCATGTTGACTATGGTGGGAGGGGGCAGCCCCATGACAAATGAGTGTCAGACACACCACAAGTAAGCCCATGGGACTGCTGACAGGAAAGGCGGCCAGAGCCAGGGAGAGGAAGGCCTGCTGTGTAGAGTTGGATCAGAGAGCCCTGACGATGAGGAAGAACCCAATGAAGGGTTAACATCTTAGTCCCGTCAGGCTGCAATAACAAAATACAACAGACTGAGTGGTATTTTAACAACAAAAATAATCTTATAAACAACAGAAATTTATTTCTCACAGTTCTGGAGGCTGGAACGACAAGATCAGGATACCAGCATGGCTGGGTGAGGGCCCTTTTCTGGGTCGCAGACTTCTTGTTGGTTCCTCACATAGTGGAAGGGGCTAGAGACCTCTGTGGGGTCTCTTTTATAAAAGCACTAATCTCATTCATGAGGGCTTGGCCCTCCTAACCTAATCACTCCCCAAAGGCCTTATCTGCTAATACCCTAACCTTGCACATGAGGTTTTCAACACATGAATCTGGCGGGGGCGGGGGGCACAAACATTCAGAGGCAGGTATAGTGCAGGGAGCAGAGGAGGTCTCCAAGTCACTGCTCTGCAAATGGCTTTCAACAAGGCGTGGCTGCTGGTGAGCACTGTGTAGCAGGTAGTGTCCAGGCCCAGGAATACCTGACTACAACAGAGGTACTGCACTTCAAGGACATTTAAGGATATGTGCAGACCTCACAACCTTGTAAGTGTAGGTCAAATGTTGGAGAGTGCTGCAAAGGGAGCAATGAAACAAAATGGGTGAGAGCTGAAGACCACCTAGGTGTGGTTGGAGTGTGCCAGAAAGGGGATCAGAAGTCAGAGAAGAAATGAAAATGGGGAAGAAAAGTAGACATGAGGTGTGGCCACTGGCCTGGCTTCAAACAATGAAGAACATAGGCCAGGTTCCCAGTTCTGACATCTTGCCCTTGCCCAGCCCCCTTGCAGGGCCATGTACTCTTGAATGTCTTGTGCCACTGACATAGTAATAACCACCCTATCCGGTGTCCAGGGTCCTCTCCATTGCTCAAGGTGAGCATTGACGTGGCACCTGAAGAGGCCAGCTCTAGGTAAAAGACAGAAAAAAAGTGGCTAGCAAGTGCCCAGAGCGATCCAATACTGGACATCTGTCATTCTCAAATTGCAAGAACTTCACAGGGCAGACAGTAAAAACAATCCAGTGGTCCTCCAAGTTAATAACTACATTGGTACCTAAAATTCCTGACACAGGAAGGCTCCAGGAAATGTCAGCAAGAGGAAGGGGGAAAGCCTGGGGCACCAAGGTTGTAGCATCTAGGCCAGCGGTTTTCAAGCTGTGGGTCGCGACCCCTTTGGGGGTTGAACGACCCTTTCACAGGGGTCGCCTAAGACCATCGGAAAACAAAAAGATATTTACATTACGATTCATAACAG